ATATATATATATATATATATATATATATATATATATATATATATATATATTTAAAAATATACAAATCCATTCTAACGAACAATAACTCTATAGCACCTTTCTTAAGAAGAGGGCCTGCTTAAAGAAATCGCCAAAAACTTAATCTCAGTAGTCTAAGTCTCTCGTTATTGCCCAATATTTATGGCCCCCGTGCGAGCGAAGGGCTCATTCAACCATGAAACGTGGCTATATATTTCCAAAGGCCGCCGCGCCACCCACAAGAGAAGAAACCTTTAGCCGAGCGAAAAACTGAAAAATGTTGTCCCTTTTTACGAAATACCGTGGCCAAACGTTTAAGCTTACCCAACTCCTGAACAAAAAGGGCGACAAGGGTACAAAGTGTTTTTCTGTGTGTCGGAAATAAAGCAAAATATTGTGATTACTCACAATTTCACTCACCGATGTATGTTGCTTCTGACGCTGAAATATATAAAACCAGTTTTCGAGAAAGCTTGTGATCATATCAGTTACGACTTTCCAGCTCTAAATTTATATTGTGTCAGCTGGGTTTGTGTAGCAGCTGAAAACACTTTATGCCATTAACAAAAGATGCACATCCTTAAACTTGTATATTGATCTAAGCTGAATTTACTTCGAGCCTGCGATTATTATCGGAGGATTATAATAAACGATAAATTTAAGTCGAGTGAGTCACTTTCGTTTTACTATTCGGTTATTCACGTGTGCCTCTGATGACTCAGATGAGTAGTACCATCTATAAAAAGTTGACTAGTTATCGCTTACCATGTGGGTAAATACGGCTTGTTAAATCTTTGAGTTATTTTCGACCCTTTTATTCTTACATGTTGTAATCATGTGTAGGATAATTCTCATTTTTAAAAACTGGATCATTGAATAATGCAATTTGAGAGTTTTCATTGGCTTAATCCTCATGAGTTATGAGCCATTATGCTATGCTCTACAAATAAGATAAACGTACTTGTGATTTATTGGGGCGTTGTTATTTTTATTTCGGTTCAGTTTTCTATATTTTGGAAGCGTTTTTAAGAAAAAAAATTATTCCACTCGCGCTTTTTGGATATGAGATGATACATTATAGCCAACTCGTCGGCGCTGTCCGCCTCGTTGGTTATATACCAGGGAGCTTAAGCGAACCACGACGAAGACGGCCACGAGAACGCCACCAAACCAAAGGTTTAATGAGCAAAACAATAGCTGTGCACGTGCGTTATAGATCTTTGTTCATTTCTTTGCCGTCCTCAGCAAAATAACAACGTGAAATGACCAAATTCTGCATCGTCTACTGAACGTGGACGACGACGGCTAATTTTTCGTATTTTCATTTGGAATCGAACGCTGTCATTGCATATTTAGCTTGAGCACGTTTTTAGAGCCATTGGCGCACCAAACAGATCGAGATAATCGCGAATTTCGCTGGTAAAATATAAATTCATTTTTTGCTAGGCGTCGTCCTCGGCGTCGTCGCCGTCGTTGCTTAAGCTCCCTATTGACGAGATTGTAGTTTCGTGAACGTCGCCTGTGATCAAACTTTCTAATGGGAAAATCACCGAGGTCCGATAATTAATGAATGTAGCACTTTGCCAGGGTTGATTCATCGATGGGCTTTGTCTGGAAGGTTCATGGATATGTTTCGTCTAGTTGTGGTTTTCTCAACAGCAGGGTACCAGGAAGATGCGTGGCACTAATTTTAGCTAATCAGATGCAGAGCCTTCCCATAAATGTTATGTTATGTGCAGAGCGGGGAGCTTAGGCCTTCGGCACGAAAGAGGTGTCCTCAGAAATTACATTTTAACCACAACTCAGCATGTGACCTTCGAAGACACACGACCCTACTTTTGAATAAAGATCTTCTCTCTAACATTTCAAGACTTGATCAAATTCATATGGGTTGGGGAAGACATTTGTTCTTCATTAATTTTGTGTTCCTCTTAGCGACGCCAAAACTATTAAAATAACTCCATTCCTCGTGTATATTTCTTTTTTCTGTTTGAAGTCCGAGTGTTCACCGGCCTCTTTTCCCATCTTGCGGCAGTTTAAGAATTCAGCTTTCAACATTCAGTATGCGTTTCACCCTTTCGCTTCTAATGTCTAGCTCGTATCAAATAATGGCGCTTGTAGCTTTTAGATATGTGGATGAACACAAGCCAATGATCATTCGAGAGAAAAATATTTTTGAGCAGCACTTTCACCATTTTTTCTTTTTTAAACATTTACGCTAAATGAAATTATGAATTTCGTGTTGCAGCCGAGGAAAGTACGTAATGTGATAAATTAACACTTTCAGTTCCATCTCAGACTTCCTAAGTTTCCCTTTCTGTTTATTCTGCAATTTTCAAGACCGATAATTTCTAACTTGAACTTAGTAAAACTTAGTTTATTTCATTTTTCTCTCAGTATTTTCTCAAAGACATTTTCTCCGGGTTTTTATCGAGGTGTAGTGACACCTGTGAAAGTTTAGGATATTTCCAAAAAGATGTGGAAACACTAGCTCGAGGCTGTTGTTCCCATATGTTGTATTTTTCTTTCTCCCAAACTTTTACTCGTTTCCATAACTCGATAGAAACACAAAAAGTTTTCTATTTTTATCCTTAATGCTTGCTATGGGGGTAATACATAAAAAAAGGTGCAACAGTTACTGTCTAAAGAAAGTTGTATTTCTGTAGGACTAAATGTTGAACAGAACTCGAAATTGTTTTACAAAAATTGGTGAAATTATTGTTATGAGTGAAATTAATGAAATTAATTATGAAATTAATATACTCAGTTAATGACGCTGCAATTTATACTTCAAATATTTCTACCGTATCTTTATTCTTAAATTTTCAACAGGGTCCCAAACAGAGCTGTTACACTAAACGAACGTGTAACTCTGTATCAATATCATACACTGTTCAAATGGAAAGCGATGTTTCAGTTCAATGGTCACACTGACGTAACTGGTGAGTCTAAACACAACTTATCAATTCACTAAAGATGTAAGCATTGTTTCTATAACTCTTATTCAGTTAAGCAGTGAACTTTCATAAATGGACTTAACTCTTATTTTTGAGGTTTATATTTCTGATTCTAATCTTAGTTTTGTCGTCTCCTATTCTTAAGTTGAGCTAATAAAATTTCAAAAAGCGATATTCTTAAAAAAATAAATATACAAAAGAACACAACAGACTTAACGAAGCGTGCAAATAGAAGACAGCTTCCTTTTTGGTATATGAGAAGAGTTCAGTACAGTGTGGATCCAACAGGAGCTGTCCATTGATTGTTGCCGTTTTGCAACCCTGCTTGAAAACGCCACAAATCAACACTGGACGAGGTTGGTTTGCGTATACAGAATAGATTTGATAAGTTTCGACCACGACAGGCTTCGAAGTCGCCAACTGGGCAACCGAGGGTCGAGCTGTCACGTGTTGAAACAACCAAATTGTGGGTGCGTGGATTGGTGCATTGCCATGAAGTATCGTACTGGCTGTCCGGGTATTTGTTAGAAGTGTACGGTTGTCCTTGATGGAAAAATATCTGACTGGTGTTGTTGGAAGTCCTTCCAGTACTCGGTCTTGATCCATGCTCAGTCGTTACTACTTTAGTTTCTGCTGTCAATTTTTCTTCCGGAATAGTAATACTTGGTGGAACAGGTAGTGGCGTTTGGTTGGTTGTCTGATGAATGTGGTTTTCGACACTGGTTTCCGATTTATACGAAGAGCTGCCTGGATTGCTTGGCTTTGTAAATTTCGTTACTTTTTCTTGCTTTCTGTACTTTGCCCTTCTGTTTTTAAACCAAACCTTGGGTTAAATGAAAAGAGTAGGAGCATTTATAAAGACGGTATTCCTAGTGGTTTGACAAGATGCGCACTGTAACAAACGAGGAAGTCTACATTCAAGAGGGGGTTTGAAACGAGTAGTGGGTGGTTGTTTAAAGCACGATTACGTCAGTCCAGCATTAGCGGGGAAAATTAACGCCCGGGCGGAGTGTGGGGGTATTCAGCGGGCATGCTTTTAAATAAAAAATATGTTGTGTAAGCGTCACGGAATATTTAAGTACCGTTCACACAGATAATTAGTTTATTTAGGTGTCATCAATTGTCATCAAATATCGCTTAAAGTGTGCATTCGCTCAATGTTGCACACCTGGTATCATTTTTATCTGTGTTTGCGAATTTATAATACTCAATTCTTTTTCCCCTCTTCTGTACATTAGTTACAATTACGCCATTGCGCGTAGATCGTCTGGCAAAAATTCATTACAATCGCATGGGAGCATTCCGAGTTCTGCATTGATATAAAGCGGACAAACGTGGCCTTTTTCCGAGGCATAATGGGGTACGTTGTTCCATCACAGTGGCAGCTNAAACCAAAGACATAGCCATTTTCCTTTCTATAATCATGCAAATGCAGACGGAGATATTCCTCATCCACTTTGTCCGCCATATTTACATTTTACGCGGGAAAAGTACATGTATGTCTTACTACGTATGTGCATGTGAAATGGCCTTTAATTTTACGGGATCACTTACACAACGTATTTTTATATAAAAGTGTGTCCGCTGAATACCCCCACACTCCGCCCGGGCGTTAATTTTTCCCGCATTAGCGTGAATATCTATATGATGTTTTTTGATTGTGTTTTCTGTCCTCCAGTTTTAACGTCAGCTGATCTCAAATTCCACAAAACATCAACAGAGAACACCACTTAGTTAATCCAAGAGGAAATTAAACCTTGAGCAACTTTTATTCCTGGATTAATGGGCAAAATCTTTCCCGGCCTATTACTACTAGGTTAAATCCTTAGTTGCGCGCTTGAAAGATAAGTTCGTTCTGCTGATTTGCTTCTTTATCCTAGTTCTGAGAATTCGGTGTGACATCAACACATCTTCCCTTGCTTAAATGAATGCAAATACCTCATTAATCTTTCTATAACTATCCCATATACAAAGCGCCTCGTCTCATTTTGAAAGCTACACTACATATAGACCACTTGCACCTGAGGTAGGTTCCCTGGTCTGTATCTGCTTAAAGGAGATGTGAGCCGTATCTCGCCACACTTTGCTCAACCGAATATCATTTCTACAATAACTGCTGAAATTCTTGGGCGCTCTTGACTATTTTTGTTGTCAATAAGCGGACAGACACATGAATTTGACAATGTTATGACGAAATTCCTGATCAATAACAGGACAAACGTATGAAAAACTGACGTCAATTGTTAATTAATTACCTGAATTCTTGATTCTGGAAGGTTTGTCCAAGATGCGAGCTGCTCCCTCATCACAACATCGGGGTAATGTGTTTTAGCAAATGTGTTCTCTAGCAGCTGAAGTTGTTGATAGGTGAAAGCTGTACGAGAACGACGATGTTTTCCTCTCGTTGAGCCATAGTGAACCTCTAGGATTATATCTACAACAGGAACACACCATAGCTGTTAGTTGGAACTTATCACTTAAAGTCTGCTCGAGTAGGACCTACCCTCAACTCCACTCTTTCTTTCCCTTTGGCGAGCCTTAAGGTGGTCGGCACCAGTTTCCAGCACCTTGCAACATTTAGATTTTTACGGGTCATTATGGCCATCTTATCAGTTGATCTCACAATCGTGGTCTCAAAAAACTACCCAATGGCTGGTGAACACGTTATCATTTTCGTGACCATAAGCCATCTTAATCAATGATAAAAGTCCCGGTGCCATTTTACTGTCGATTCAAGCTTTCTGTTTACTATAAGTAGTGCTTCAAATGTTACTCTTTTCTCCATATTTTTATCTCGAGTTTTGGCTGGCATAATAGTTGGTGCACCCTCCTATTTTTTAATCACTTTCCTTTTCCAAAAGGTAAGGCTACCGCCTTTTTAAACTCATTATTTTTTTCCTAGCACTTTCTTGTTTACAATTTCATCGCTTCTGTTTCTTTGCTGAGCTGAATGTTAGTTGATAGCCACGTGAACATTTTGTATCTAGAAAGAATGTTATGCATTTGTGTGCCATTTGTTTAGTTCCTGTAGCCACTGTCGCGCGTAAATAGCACCGCATTCCCTCGCTCGCCCCCCCCGCCCCCACTCTCTCTCTCTCTCTCCGTCGAGATTTTGCTCTTCGCTCATACGGGGAACGCTTGCTAAGCAGCTAGAAAATTCCATTCGAAATCGGTGTACCGATGCATGAGGGTTCCTGTTTTATGAGTCAAATGAGTCATGAGTCAATGAGCCACGAGTCAAGTTATGAGTCAAGTCAGCGGTTTTCAAAATTCAAAATGGCGGACGTCGCAAAACTCGGAGTAAGTACTGACTGTGAATTCGGTGGTTGGCTACGCAACGATTTTTGTTTCTCGAATTCATTTTAATAGACGAACAAGTTTAGAGGTTGAAATTACTCAAAGGACGCTAGTTACAGCGAAAGACCTTGGAATTTTCTTGCTGAAATGGGTTGGAAAAGATGGGCGACTGCCATCGTCTGATCCAACTAATCACTCCCAAGAAGTCGTACAAGAGACCTACTAACCGGAATCGAATATCACCTGATATGGTAGAAAATATATGGTTCGCCACCTTTAAATTTAGTGTAGACCTTTGGAACCTAAGCCGGCACCAATAAACAGCATGTCATGTGTAGCCGATAACGATTTACTACTGTCCCTCGAGCACATTGCCAAATATATTAATGGCACGGGCCATAATATCAATATCCAATATGGCAGGCAATGCAAACAGGCGGTAAATTTCGGAAAGGTGTGACATATTTTATGCGTGATATAATTTTGCGTGCGTGACTACAGTTGAAGGTAGTCTTGAAGACAACAGTCCTACCCAGGCTAGACTTATTCTTAGGTTTCTTGTAAAGCCATTTCTGTCATTTCACGAAACAATGGAAGCAGAAAGCTTCCAGAACTTTTCCCTAGTTTCATAAAATAAATTAAATGAAGAACTGTTCCTAGCATACCTCATAAGTTCCCCTTTGATGAAGACTTTCTTATTGCTAGAAGGGTGAAACGACTCGAAGGGTGTGTAAAGATATTTGTTAAGATATTTGCTACTCACACTGTTTACCGAACACTCCCGATGCATACAAATTTGTGCTTTCGATGTCTGTCATACAGTGTGTGGATAAAATTGAATTTGGTGAATTGCTACAAACCACCAATACTAAATATAAACACATTTCCTGGCCGGTTTATTCCCTATTTGTTTGGAAAAGACTGTGTAGTGTAGTCTTACTTTAGTCCTAAGACTTAATTTGAAACTCCTGGTGGATTCATTAGATAAAGTATGCTCAAAATGCTCACAACTTGTATTATGAAGCGCAACTGAGATTTCATGCGAGCATCGTGAAATTTACATGATGCTACCTGTGATTTTACTAATTTGAATTCCGTTTGTCAGACAAGCGGATATGAGGCAACATGAAGAGGGCGCGAAACTCGAAAAATTATGTTCATTAATTAGCAAAGACTTATTGCTAAGTTCGTAGCATTTATATTGATAACGTGTTGAAGGAACATGATTAAAGCTTACAAGTTTAATAAATTTGCTTTGTATTGTAAATACTGTATTGGCCGAGGCTACAAACACTGCTGGGCTCACTATTCTTTTGCAGACTTGCCTCTAGAGTACTATGTAAAAGCTAGAAATTTTCATTGCAGCAACAGGCAGCAACCGAGGTAGGACTTTCAAAAACAAATTCTAGATTGAACTTTGCAAAATGATCTGTCAAAAAACAACAAGGCGCAGAGGGTGGCCCTGGTATCGAGTGGTATGTAAAACTTGACATGGTTTGTACTTACTACAGTGTATAGAGCTTAATTCACTACCCGTGTTCAGAACATAGACAGGAGAAGACGAATAATGTGTATACGTAAAAGAACACTGCGTTTATCAAGCAGTGTCACAGTCCTCTGGGTTGACATCTGGGAATGCATGCATTGTTCTCCTCTCAGAAGCATTAATTTGGTACGATTATGGCCAAACGTAGCTCAGACGACCAGTTTAAACTTTAAAAATTCTGTTTCACTCTGCTGAGATGAAAGCAACACGTTCCGATTCATTCAGTAGTATTCTAGCTGAGCCGTCATGGCGCTTTCAGGAAACGTTTTTTTCCCCCTCCTGTCTCTTCATCGTAGCAATATTAATAAAGCCTGCGGCCATGCAATAAGCTCCTCGTACAATAAATGTGGAAACTGGAAATATTACATACCTGCCAAGCGCTCCGCTAATGTGAGAGCGTGAGGTGCATTCGGCTCGTCAAACATCTGGCTGTTATTTCTTGAAGATGGATTATTTCTTAATATACTGTCGATTGAAAATGATGATGCGAAATCCATCGCGTAGAACTTTTAGATTTGCGATAATGAGCGGCCTGTCTGTTGGCAATACCGAAGCTGCAGCGCTGTAGAACAAGAAAGCAAGAGAGAGAAGCTGACTCGCTGCTATCACAGGATCATCACATGGCTTTGTAATTTTGGGTGATGTCGGCGCGGTTTTTACTTACTTCTGCAAAATAGTCTGGCAACTGTCATGTAGTAATGTAGGTGTTTTACCTGCTGTGATAATTTCTACTCGCTCTTTTGTGAAAAATACGAAATTTCCTATTTAATTTGTTCTATGTTTGAACAGATGATTGCAGAATATTTTAATCATGAACAAGCGAGTGACGTTTTGTTTCACACAAAAATTTTAAAACTAATGGAAATAGCAGTTGGTGCACTCACGTTACATACAAATGAAAAAAGCAGCTAAATTGTCTAAAACGGTTCTTAAACGGTATTTTAATGCGATTATTTTGTATACCATTCACTAAGTGTTCCACATTGTAGTATTTCCTCAGCCTAGCCATTCACGATTCACGAATTATTATATTGTTTCATGTCATAGGTTTACATAAACAAGATATTAGCCTTCAAGTTGTACGATGTTGGCTTCTATCAGCATGGGCAGACTATGTAGGTTTAATACACTCTCGCTACCTTTGAAGGCAATTCAGTGGTTTTTAAGTTAGATCAGGAATATATAACCTGAAATAACTTTGCACAAGCTAAAATATATGAGTTCTTCTTCAGCTTAAGTGTCAAAAGCGTACGGCAATTTTAACGACAACAGAAATCAGGAAATAGGAAGCTGTATCTTGTACGCAGGAGAGCAACACATCACAAAGCCGCGAAAATTGATTACCAAATTCCACCGCCGCCAATTAACAAGAAAAGAAGCATTCAAATAGGCCTGACCTTGGCGAGTGTCTCGAGTGAATTTGTCTGTCGTCCGTTCGTGGTGACGAAAATTACTTGCACTACAGTGGCAGAACAACTTGTGTGCGGCTGGTTCATCTCGACCAAGTCATTGATTGGTGATCCAAATCTCCCCTCCGTAGCTGACCGGTATTTGTTTGAGTAAAAGTGCCGAGCTGTCGCCGTGATTGATGGTAATTTAATTAGAACGAACTGTACCCCACCTAAAGGTAGTTATTGTCGCAGTAACCAATTAGCGCGATCTTTTTGTACGAGAACTATTGCTGATCCGCAAATCACACTCTTGTATGGCTGAATTATCAACCGGTTTTCAGAGCTATTGTGCATCATTTTTCATCCATAAATCTACGATACTTAATCCCTCTTGACTTTTGGCCTTAAAATGATGTTATTTGAGAAATTGAAGTGTTCTGAAGGACATAAATATCAGACATTATTCAAGTGGCATTGAACAGCATTTGAAATCAACTCTATTTCTCTCCCTTTTCGTCGAACGGGCTATTTTTTTACATGTTGTTCTTTTTGTTTCTTAATGAAAAGCCCTCGAATTGGATCCCCCACAGATGTACATAATTGAAGTAGAATAGAAAAAAAAAACCTTATTGGAAACCATAACTCGCCATTCAAAACATTTAGCTTATGTCCTAATCCCTTGTAATGGGCATGGAAATCAAAGCGGCAACAATTTCCCGTTCAATGCTCGCAAAGTAAGAGTGTGTCTGGATTTAGGCATGACACTGTGAAGTTCTGTAGCATTTCAATTCTTTGTACTTCGCCTGGGTCGCTCTTAAAAGAGCCATAGGGAAAAAGGAAAACATCCCGTCACGTTTTCTCACCTTTTGTCAGAGACCTCCTGCGTTGAAAGCAATTATAATAATTGTAATACGGTAGTGTACACAAAATGCACAAAACGAGAAGGCGAGGTCATTATTGCATAAATGGTTCATTTTGTACGTCTTTACAATAAGTCCAGCAGGTCAGATGAGTTTTTGTTCTTTGGTCATATTTTAGTCCAATTTCTAAGTACATGTTAATAGGTTTACTTCGACAGAACGTGCTATTTGTTAACGTGGGCCTGTTGTGACGGCCCAGTTTTGCTTTCTGTCAAAAAAGAAAAAAAAAAATGCTTGCCGCTTCATAAAGGAAACAGCTTGTTAATGTACTGTAACGTAAGATGTAACTAACTAACTGTGGGTCAACTGTGTGTTCAACATGACCATGCCCAAGTAGCTTCATGTACAGCAAAGTCTTACTTTGTAAATACCCGCTTGATAAGTTACAGATATGTTATCACTACATTTATTCATCATCCTACGTTTGAAGCTTACAGCGAACGCTCAAATTCTTCACATTTATTGTGATACTGTAATACTCGTATGAAAGAAACTGTCAAAGCCGCTCAAAGGTTCAAGGTAACACCCTAAAGTGTTCATTATCGCCTTAAGATATTTAAAGGATTGCGATAATCTCATTTTCTGCTACCCCAAGGAGACGGTGTGAAAATCCACTGAGCGTTTTCTGACTGCGTCATCCGCCGGATACGGACTTTCTTTTTATCTGAAAATATATATGGGGCAGTTATCAATAGGTACGGTTCCATTGAACTCTTATGTATTTGGAGGAATACGCGAACCAAACAGTTTTACGTTGATTACATTCATCCACAAATTCTATGCACCATGCACCAGCGTTAATCCTTCGACGCAGACCACATTATTCGTTGGATTAGCTCTGCAATGGGAACTGAAAGTGTAACGACTGGGCAGCATAGCCACGTGCAACTCTAAGAACCGACATGGTGTTTGAAAAGCGTTACCCCGGTGGGGGAGGGGGATACTCCCAGAAAAATTGGGTTGGGGTGTGCGGCCCGCTTCCCAAAACCCTTACCCTATTTATGACCAAAATCTGTGATATTCCCTACCAAAAATTCGAAACCCTATTTATGTCCTGACCCTAAAATCAAAACCCTGTTTCAGACTTGCGTTATTATTAGTTCCCCAGTTCAGACCAATGTTAAATTACCGTAAACATAATTTGTGAAGGGCTTTTGTTGATTTTC